TGTAAAGTTTGCTTATCATTTTCGCATAAATTATGACCTAAATTTGGAAACCGCTGAATTTCTCGAATTGGGTCTTTGCGATTTTGGTGAAACTCTGTTCAGCGCAAGGCACTAATGCGCGCTATGTGTAGCCGAGAGATTTTCACGAAAAAATGCCTGCAACAGCAGATTTTCGACTCAGACCTCAAAGGGGTGTGGCATTATAACCACGTGACATTTACTCTGATCGCCAAAAATTTTATGTTATATTGTAGATTGATCTATATGTTATCCATTCTATGTGTTAGACTTACGATAAACGTAAAGGTGGGGTTACCAGAGAGCTTCAAAGTAGGATGGTACCCCCCCAAAAAAACTGGGTCGAGTCACCTTAAATGAACTTTCCCTTAGCCCTGGCTAAATCTATATAATGAGCCCACAGCGACGTTCAGGCTTAGACAGCGGTTTTACGGTGCCAGTATACGGGATCTCGCATCTTCTCTCTTTCTTTTGCCATCGATTTGGTGAGTATGGAATATCGTGGAGACTAACTAAAACTAATTGGTCAATCTGTGGCCATCGGTCGTTTTTATACAGCAAATAACTCATAATAAGCGAGCACAAGTACTCCCTGCTTCTTGAAGCTTGTTATTTTTTTCGTTTTTAGCACTTATGTGAAAACTTCCACCGTTTTAGTTGTCTTTGTCAATCGTCCTTAGCAAGCTAATCTCACCTTCCCAGAGAAAAATTACTGCCAAATCACATATTTTTATAACAAAACGTCATTTTCATTCGATGAAAATATATTTCCTATCCATATTACGGGTTGAGAAACCCGTAGAATGACACAAGATCGTCTTTGATCACTTTAATCCTGTAAACCCGATTCTTTCGGGTAAAGTGTGACTATGCAATTTGCTCAACTTTCGTTTATTTATTTGGTTTTTAACATTGCATATTTTTCAGTGTTGTCGATATGGGGCGCAGACCTGCCCGTTGGTAAGTACGTGTTAAATAATATTATAATGATTGCACGCGTATAATTTTTCTCGATCACCTGGCCTCTTGCTTAAAACCTTTGTATATCATTATCATAGTTATCTATGAGGGTAATCAGTGTGTACATGTAATTCATGGCTAAGGATAAGAGGGAGTAACATTTTTAGGAAACACACTTCTAACCAGTGAAACAATCATTTTGATTGTACAGTAAACTCTGAATTTTTCAAACCTGCAGAAAAGGAAGTAGCATTTGGTTATCCCTCTCAGGTGAACTTTATGATGTAGCTATGAACTTTACCCTAGATCCATTCTTGAAATACCTTGGATTAAATAACTGTGCACATGGTTTGATACAGAACTGTTCAAAAGACAGTTTACAGTCCCTCGTGAGTCGTGATTCACTATTCTTGATTCCTGCAAGAATCGAGAACAAGTTAGAAGAATCATGTCGATAATCTACATGTAGTCTCCTGAGACAAAACACAAAAGATTCATCCATAACTCATTTTGTGGTACATGTAATTTTGCACTGACATAACACAACACGGTATGATTTGTTGGTGCAAGCGACTGTATGGTTACTGTATGAAGATTGAAACAATGCCAAGTTAAGGTAAGTTCATTTGTGTCAAGAGGGGGATGTAAGGGTTTGCAGTGATGCGGGTTTGCTTGATTTTCAGTGCAGTTTTGCGGAAATTTTTTCTTAAGTTGTGGTATTGCATTTTACAAAACCAAGGGGACTGCGGTTTTTAGAAATTTTCGGGTAATTTCTATACGGTTTGTGGCTTCCTTATGTTATTCTGTGCGGTGTTTATACATGTATGTATTTCTGTGCAGTTTCACAAACAGGAAATCAAAAAAATTTGACAAGAATCATTTGAATGACAGGCCAAAGCGCTTTGGGTTTTTTGAGACTTTGATGTTTCCACTGTCATCTTGTCTCGCTAACAGGAGTTTGCACTGGAGGGTGCAATTCTGTTCCTTGAAAGTTTTCTTTTTTATTTTTGATCATGTTTGATTGCCGATCTTAATCAAACTAAATTCTCATTTGATAAAGATCGATTGAATCATAATAAAACCTTACATCAGGCTGAATTCAAATTTATATTTTTTTATCGCAGTCGCCCAGCTACATTTTAAGTCGCCACTGGCGAACCTGGCGACTGCCAAGTTTCAGCCCTGTTTTAATAGCAATTTTGACAATTCTACTCAGCTAAAAAGGTGTTTGTCTTGAAACTTGCCTCAGTCCCCTAATGTAAAATGATCATTTGAAGCCGAATTTGTCCCTTTGTTGTTGTTTTGCGATGAAACAAAGATGGTGACCCCCTTTTTTATTTGTGTTTTTACATGTTATGGCTACACAAAAAATATATATAGTAAGGAGGAAAAAATCTGGAAAGTGGAAGTGTATTTTTTTTAGATGTGAATGACCCAAAATTCCTTTTTAAGAGCCACAGAGAAGGGCAAGATAATGTGAAAATTGTCAATATCTCTACATTTCTTTCAAGATAGGGTAATTCGAGGTTACTTAACTGAAAAAAATAAAGCCCAGGCAAACAAACGGGCTTAAGGTTTTAGTAAGATTCATAGTTTTCGCCATAAAATAAGAATTTTGACGATTGTTGAAGTTTCGAACATTTTGCTCACAGCTAGGAAAAACACTCAGAGTATCGGGCACACAGGGCAAAAACAATCATGGTGACCCCATCTTTTGCAGTGTTTGAATTTACTACATATGGCTGGCATTTGTTGCAAGTTTGAAAAATGTCTGGATACTACATGAACATCATTTTCAAGGGAATTACCTTTGTGGTTTTGTGGGGGTTTGATTAACCTAGAATTTGTAGAATTCGGATTGTACTGTATTATTTGCTGTGGCGTTTCTTTGTTTTCTTATTTTTGATGCTTTTAAATTTTGTATCTTAAGGTAACCAATAATTTAATTGGATTGGACAGCTGATATGGGAAAATGTCTGATTCACATTCACATTATAGTACATAAAATTACATATCAGATATGCAGCATCATTTGCATCATTTCCTTAGGTGACTTTAGCCTGTACAACACATTCATGAAACTAATTTTCTCTTTCCTAGTTACCGCTACTGCAAGAACAAACCTTACCCCAAGTCACGTTTCTGTCGTGGTGTTCCAGGTGAGAAATATGTACCAGTAGGCACTAGATCAAGTGTGGTTGAGAAAAGTATGTGGATATTTTTAAAGTATGTGGATATTTTAAACCACGCGAAAATAGACAACTTATGAAGATCTGTTGGGAAACCTTTTTTAGGGGCTTTTAAGAGAAGGCATTTATTTGTTTGGGTCCTTACACTCACTCTGTGTTGTAAACAATGATTTACCTGTACAGTCAAGCCAGTCCTAATAATGCAAGGCTGCAAATAACAGTGGGTCATCAGACATTAATTTGTCCAACATTGTGTTCAGTCAGGGTTCAAAATTAGCAGTTGTCCAGTTGTCCCAGACAACCAAAATCATCAGCGGGGCAACCAATTTGTGCAGAGTGGTTGCCCCTTGGACAACCCAATCTGCTAAGGCATTAGCCCCTTGAGGAATACATATTGCAGATTTTTGCTTTAGGAGGATAATAATTCCCAGGGTTTACTCTAGAGCGCAGCCTTAAGGGATTTCTGCAATTTGGAAAAAAATGCTGTTGCCGTGTCAAATGAGGCTCAAAAAAAAATTGACCCAAGGATTAGTGTCATTTTTTTGGAAATAAAATATTTGAAAACACCACTGACAACAATACTGATTTGACAGCTGCTTTATAAACTTACTTTTAACTTTTATAGCCTCTTACTGTCCCAATTGCCTTTCTCTTCTTCATTTGAGTCATTATTTAACCAGACTAACACCCAAGACTCTGCAGTAATTTGAGCTTGGGCTTTTTCAGTTGCCCAGAATATTCCAAAATGTTGGCAAAGCATCAAGTGAGTCCGACCCATTTTCTCATGGAACAGTCTGCACCAATTTTCGTGAACCCCCTTTCTTGGACCCCCTTATTGGCCAATTTCCAGAATAAACCCTGAATTCCTGAAATTAGTTTAAAGTGAAACAAAAGTGGAAAAATTAGCAGCCTTCTCCTGTTTGAAAGACGCAACAACGGTTGGTCTGAATGGGCTTGTTGTGCTTTGACCAGTGGTGATGTATAGTCCATGGTGCGTTGCCGCAAAATATGCTCTGTGTCACGGCTGCTTTCTAACTGTCACATATTTCAATGAGCCAAAAAAAAAAAAACAGAGCAGGTGCCACTGGAGCGAATAAGGGGTAAAATCAACAACCATGGACAAGTGGAATTAAAAAAAAGATTTTTGCCCTGAGTATCCATTACATAATACGTATATTATATCTGCAAATGTTGCTGCAAGGGCTGGTAAATATATATGCCTGTTTGGAGACTCTGGTTTCTGTGTGTTCACATCTCTAGAACACACTCAAGACTCAAATTTTATGCATGGCCTCAAGCAAAACTTACATGTACAATTATTTTATTTTATTGCCCATAGGACCAATAACAATAAAATCAAGATTTTTTGCAATTTCATTGCATTCATGAATCCATCCTGTTTACAAATTTGTATATAAGAAGCCTTATCTTGTAGATTTCTAAATAAAAAAGATTATAGAAGATTCCATGCATGAAGATAGCTTGTGCCAACTGCAAGATGGAGTTGATCACATGCAGCATGCAATGCAGTGCTTTTTAGTTAGATTAAATGTGACCTTCTCTGGGAAAATGTACATTAACACTTTCATCAAACGGGCAAAAACTAACAGCTGATGAATGAATTGTAAATAGCTCTCCAAAGGGTTTTAAGAGTTTGATAAATTTCTAATGGCTTTGGAAAGCATTGGAATGTATTGCCGAGATTTTTCTAACAGTTTGCGTTTGCTTCACATGTGTACTGAATGACATAAACAGCATTCCTGAGCAATTTTTTGTAGTAATTTTGTTGTTTTGTGTTTTTAAAAAAGTTACAGAAATCACTTTTTAATGAAAACAAACGACAACTTTTGCATGATGTTATCTAAAAGCAAAATGAAGATTGGAAATTTTTGTGAATTTTGACTTGGCCAGTGTTAGAAGTGAAAGGGTCAATGCTTTAGATGGTACTAATTTTTTGTGAATTTTTTTTTGTGGCAGATGCTAAAATAAGGATTTATGACTTGGGACGAAAGAAGGCACGAGTAGATGAGCTACCACTTTGTATTCACATGGTTTCAGATGAGTATGAGCAGCTGTCAAGTGAAGCACTTGAGGCAGCACGCATCTGCTGTAATAAATATATGGTGAAGAACTGTGGTAAAGACTCCTTCCATCTACGCATGAGGCTTCATCCTTTCCATGTTATTAGGATCAACAAAATGTTGTCTTGTGCTGGAGCTGATAGGTTCGTCTGGATGCTTTTTATACACATATTTATCCTTATATTTATATACACATATATATCTGTTATAAAGATCAGCTGGGTTATATGATTATAGAGTGATAGAGCAACAAACTGATGGTTAAAACTGATGGTCAAAAATGGGTATCTTTTAAAGAATGCATACTGTGTATTATAAAAAGCTATTAAATATTTTTCTCTGAGCTTACCTAGTCACAACTGTACAGACAGCAACGATCACAGCTTACATGGAAAATGACCCTTGCTTTTACGTGCCAAGTGGCCCCTTTTTTGGAGCAGACATGTCTTACTAAGCACACCTAAACTTCAAAACACAAGCTGACCGAAACATTTTCTGCTGCAGTAATGAGACATAAACAACAGACTTCAGGTTGCCTCCTAACGGCAAATTATACTATAGTGAAAGGTTTTTCAAATTCATGCCACTGGTAAGTGTTTCATTTCATCAGTCCTGTCCAAGTTTTGATGGTATGCCTTCCATCGACAACACAAGCCACCAAGTTCTCTGAGCAAAGAATGTTTCTTCTGATCTTCATTGCAACGATTCAACAAATCTTTTGTCTCTCGCCACTTCTGCTAATGCGTCTCTGATGTCAATTCTTTCCATTGTGAATACCGTTTGAACACTCCAATTTTTCTTTGAGGTTACAGTCACATAGTCCCATTTTCAGATTGAGTGACGTCCGAGACCTGAACTTCGATTACACCCTTTAGTGGTTTCAGTAGCTGGCAGTGTTATGGTTGTTGTCCACGTACTATTGATTGATGGTTTTCTTGCCCAGTGCAGTGACTTTTTTCCCTCGGGAGCCTCTCAACCAATTGGAAATATCCACACTCAAAGAATGTGAGTTGCAACAATTTTAATTTTTTCGTGGGCCTTCCAGGCAGGCTCTCTCTCTCCCCTCGAGTGTCCCCCTCTTGTGTGTCCGTTGTTTCTTGCACCCACTACTTCCAAGTGCCTGCTATGCATGATAACCACTTTACAATGACCACTTACTAATGTCAAAGATAAAGACAAACCAGAGGACAGTCGGGGAGCAGTATACAAGATCAAATGCTAGGACTGCCAGGCTACTTAATACATTGGTGAAACCGGCAGAAACCTCAGCACGCAACTGATCAAACACAAAAGAGCGATGAGAAATGGTGACGTCAACAATCATATTGTTGAGCACCATTCACAGATGAAACATCCAAACAACTGGGACTTTGCAACATGTACTACATATTCTACAGACTACTATCAATGACTCACTTTAGAAAGCTGGTGTACATGTACTAACTTAGAACAAACGCCACTGAATTGTAGTCAAGTTACTGGCATCGTACAAACGACTTTTTGACAGAATCAAACAAGAGAAAACAAGTGGACAACTGACAATATATTTTTTATTTGACTAGCAATAAGCAACTGTTTAACTGTGACAATAGACAGATCGAAAGGCACCAATGACATTACGAGTCCTCATAGCCAATAGCATCATGGCTTAACTGAAAGACGATCAATAACATTGTGACTTAATTGACTAATCAGGTCAATAGGCAGAGTTCAATAACATCAACTGACGTGATACAACTCACTTTGACTCTGAAGATGACTACTGCACAGGTTGTCAAAACGTCAGTCACTGTCAACTACAACAGTCGTATTCAGGACCACGATCACCCGGATGATCATACTCAACCTACTCATGAATTGACCTGAAAGTTTCCATAAAATCTTGTTAAAAATAAGATTATTCTCAGTGAATTTTTTTTCAGCAACTTCAAAAGCTATGCCTCTTTTGGAATAAAAAATTACTCCATGGTAACCCATAATATTTCTCAAAAAATTTAACAAACATCTTGTATAATTAAAATTATGCAGGCCTTTAAATTAGAAAAGTGATTTTTACAACATGTTTGGTTTGAAGAGCACTTAAATGAGTGAGAATGGTTTTTTGACTGAGCAAAACAGTTGGCTTACCTGTATGTGCTGCTGATACCAGTATTTGTAAGAGGGATAGTACATGTATTTCCAAAAAATATGACCTTGCGGTGCCATCAAATCATACGTATCAGGTAATGTCATTTGCATACCATAATGCTGCACTGCGAGAACTACTGTACACCGTAACCTGCAAGAATTCAGTGCCACATGTTCTTGTAATTAATCAGGGATCGCATTTCTTGTGGCTCTGAGAAAATCAAATCCATTGCATGGTATAATATGGGATCAGTTGAAGTTTCTGGGTAACTGACTACCTAGCCCTCCCCTAAGTCACAATTTTGCTCTACATTGTGAGTAAGAAGTAAGCAATTATGTTGACTTAGGGGAGGGGTAGGTGGTCAGTTACCCGGAAACCTCAACTGACCTAGTGATTTATTTTGGACTGATAATTGACTATTGTGTCTTTACAGGCTTCAGACTGGTATGCGTGGTGCTTTTGGTAAACCTCAGGGTACTGTGGCACGTGTCAACATTGGCCAAGTCATCATGTCTGTTAGAACTAAGGATGGTAACAAGGCTGCTGCTATTGAAGCCTTGAGAAGAGCCAAGTTTAAGTTCCCTGGAAGGCAAAAGGTAGGTTTACTGTACGATTGCCTTTCTTTTTGTGGCTTAGCATGGGGATTTAGTTCACATCTCAGCCAACCACTGGGGTACCATATTCATTGTGTGTGAACAACTTGTTGCAATTCTGTGCCATTGCTGTTCATTCTAAACCAGTTACTGTAGCTTTTCATGTCAGCATGATAATATATACCATCCGGTATAGTGTGAACGTGAGGGCCATGTAAGCAGCTCATTTCTGAAATTGTAAAGTGCCCTTTTTTAAAAAAAGGGGTCCCAAGATATGTGGACATTTTTTGTCACTTTGCTTGCAATTGGTAAATGTTTTCATCTCATTCCTAGGTATCCTGAGAAAACAGCGGACATTTGGCGACTCAAGTACTGGTTTCCCAACCAAATGATCTCTGAGAAGTGCTTCTGATTGGTTAAATCAATTTCCCACAAGGCATGACCAATCAGAAGCACTACCCAGATCTGGGTATTTATGCATCTTCAGTAAGGAATTTCTGCACTCGTTTCTCAGAGTTCACTTGGCGGAGAAACCAGTAGTAGCATGGCCAAATGTTGGCAGTTTTCTCAGGCTAATTCCTAGGCCTGGCCCCCCACACAGGTCTATGTACAGTGATCTTTATTTCAGTTTCATAAACGATTTTTGTACCCCATTTACCACACTTAGATCTTTTTCTTGCTGTATTATTCTTTTTGAATGGAGGTAATACCTTAATGCCAGACTTTTAATTTAACCCTGCCTGGATGGGTATACAGTCGTTTCGATACAAGTCCTTGCGTACTGAGCAGTAAATTTTTCACTAAGGCTTCTCAGTATTTCGTGAGAGTGAAGAATCTTTGTACTAAAAAGTGATGTGAACTTAAACACATCTTTATGAAAGCTGAGCGAGAAGAGTTTTAAGACTACCTTGTAAGCATGCAGGAATGCAGAGATCAGGCGCGTTCCGTAGCTGCAGTTAAGAAGGGGTGTTCGTTTTGAAACTGAAAGCCAAATGCGGCCTGAGCAGTCAACACTGTTAGGAAGAAAAGAGAAAATTTGGGGGCAAAAACACAAGTATTTCAGAACACGTTTCATGTTAAGGCTCGAACTGAAGAAAGCGTTATTCTCCTGGTGCGAATAAAGAAAAACTGATGACAGATAGAGATACAGATAAGTTGCCTTTTATAACTACCTGTCCTATTCTCATGTTTGTTTTCTATGTTACCTCCACCCGCCTTTTTGCAAACTGATGAAAGACTGAAAGATTTGTTGCCGCCTCCAGTAAAATACGGAATTCTGCTGTCCCACTATTGTTTTCAATGAATTAAAATTTGTTTGACTTGATGGTTTGAACAAATAGAAAAAAGGTACCACACAACAACGATAAGGCAGGATTCGCAATAACAGCAGTGTTAAATTGGTCTTTAAAATCTGTGAGGTTTTCGGTAACGACTACCGTATCAACTTGGCATTCACCGCTTGCCTGGAAAGTAGATAATAAAATGCATTTCAATCCCCTCCTCCTACGCGCAGATGAAACTGAAATTTAAAACAGTTATTACTTAATGGATACATTTACTGTCAAATAATCAATTTCATTTATGGAACCTTGGGGCTTGCGCTTGACCAGACGTGCTTGGAGTTTATCATGGCTAATCTTTCTTTAATGTACTGTGTTAAACCTTGTAAGTATAGTGAACTTATTAGCCAACTTGGTAGTAAACTTAATCAATAAAGTTTGCGGATAAACGCCTCACTTCAATAAAGTTTTCATAGAAAATGAAAAATGGAAAAAACCCAAATAGGGATTTATTAGATTTACTATTAAACCACTATTTGCAACATTCGTGTAAAGCCGTATGCTGCAAATGAGTACACTTTATAGTAGTTTATAAGTAATGCTAATTATTCCCTAGTTGACCTTCTCTTCTTTTTCAATTTTCCTTGTAGCGTTTTTCTAAGGCAACGGTATTGCATTTAGGTGTATCTTTATTTTCTTTTGATCTTAATGAACATTATATTTTGCATTGAGATTCACACCAAGCGACCTTTGTTTTTTTAGATTTATGTGTCCAAGAAGTGGGGCTTCACCAAGTTTGACCGTGAAACTTATGAGGAGTGGCGTGCTTCAGGAAAACTAATACCTGATGGAGTACATGCCAAATATATTTCAGATCACGGCCCCCTTGCTGCCTGGAAGAAACAGCATGCTGCTTAAGTTCAGTGCAAATACTTGTGAATGATAACAAATTAAAGCTCAAAGTGTTGAACGAATTGTTGGATTATTTGTCATATTTTAAAAGAGTAGTTTTTTTTGTTTTTGTGGGACACCCTCAGGTTTAAAATTTGACTTTAGTCAACCCATAAAAGTAGACGATTTTTTTTCCTTTGTGGCCAGCGGATACTTCGCATAAGCACATGATTAGTAGAGCTTCAGTTTAATTTGATTATCACCTCACTAACTGAAGACAAAGAGGGACTGCTCGCAATCTATCCACACGCATACAAGCTCTCTCCTCCGCAATCTCCCCCCCCCGCTCGCGCGCGCGTTTCCTTCTTCGCAACAAAAAGGCATCTGTTGACCTAAACATTTAAACATCTTTTCTTTTAACTGGCTGCCTGGCATTTTTAACTCTCAGGTTATTTCGGGCAGCCAGCGCCCCTATCATCGTCTGTACTATTGTTATAAATTTTTATTTCTTGTATATTATGGGGTGAAATAAAGTGTTGTTGTTGTTGTTGTTGTTGTTGTTGTTGTTGTTTAAGACATGATCCATATCTTTTATAGCCTGCAGTGCACTGTTGAGAAACCTTTTGGGTATAAGCGGAAAGTTCTATCTTCTCCACATTATTGGAATAATGGAGATCAGTAATAGAATGTGCCCAGGAGCGCAAATTCTTAGGTGAGAGCAACCCGAAGAATTTTTTAACGATCATCGCCCAGTGAGAAATCTGGAGGCCACCACTTTTGACAACTTTGAAATGGGGTTTAAGGCTTTTTAGGGCGTTTAAGGCGTTAATATGGTTTTAGCTACATGTATGGGCTAGAATGCTGGTTTATAGTTCAAAAAAAAAAATGTCGGTACTAATTCCTCGTTTACCTTCTGTTTTATATTATTACCTCAAAACAAATAAACTCGTATTGCAAAGTTATATATGATCAATCCCTGGTGCGCTAATACAGCAAATGTGTTCAACATATTGACCAACATATTACCACTACGCATAGGCCACTGTATTCCTTTTCTTTCTATTATTTACATTCAGTGTTATTTGTCCTTGCACATCTCCCATAACCTTTGTTTTTCATTTGTTCCTTGGTATTACAGCCGTCCCAAGAGAAATTGATCCAAAATTTTGGGGGCAAATAAGGTGCATTGTGAGATGTGCAAGTGGTGTATTTGTAAACTGCATAAATTATGGAAATTCAATGAGAGGTAAAGGGAGCTTTACATTCAACCTAAAATGCCGGAAATTTCGGTTAGTACATCAAATGGAACGGACCATTTCGGTTTGCCGACCAGAATATTCGGGACCAGCTTTGAAGGTGGTCCACTTTGACCGCTCTGGTCATTTTGGTCGGTCGGACCGAAATAACAAAATTGTTGTTAGCCTGTTCCAGGGGTTCAGATAGTAGAGCGCGGCGGTAAGTGAGGGAGCGAGAGTGGGCCTAATAAAGAACCCTGTGGAACCCTGTAGCCATGTAGGGATGTATATGACCATGTATGGCTATGTAGGGCTATGTATGGCTATTTATGGCTGTGTATGGCTATGTAGGGCTGTGTATGGCTATGTAGGGCTGTGTACGGCTATGTAGGGCTATGTCGGGCTGTGTACGGCTATGTAGGGCTATGTAGGGCTGTGTATGGCTATCCCCTCGTTTTTTTTTTTTTCTTCGTGAATTTTTTCTCCCGGGCTCTACTATCTGAACACCTGGAACAGGCTAAATTGTTGTCCCCAATACCGCTCTGTTTTATCCCGCTTGCAAGAACTGATTATAACCAAACGCGCGGTGGCTTGGGTTCCATCCAGCACGTAGAATTTCCGAAATTTCAAACCGGAATTTTTGAATGGAAAGCGCTAGGGTTATCAACGGTTGTTTACCATTTACATGGGCAAACCGGTCGGTTCACGATTTGGGTTAATGGTTCGCAAAGTTCAGGACTGGTAAATTTCGTCCCGGAATCACGTTTACATTGGCCATTTATCGGAAAGCGGCCGCGAAGGCCTGAAACTGGTATCAAAGATGGTTTTGAAGAAACTGAACACGAATTTCCGTTTGGAATATTCCACCCGGAAAAATTGGACTACCTTTTCAGATGTTCCGTTGCTTCCGGGAATTTTCCGTTTTAGATTTTAAAATCCGGATTTCGGATTTCCAATCGAACGCGAAATACGAAAACGAATTACAACGCTGAGAATTCTGGTTTCGGATTTCATTTTTACCGTTCGATTGGGAAATCCAAAAAGGATTTGAAAAACTGTCCTTAGGGTGGCCCGAACCTATTTATATGCGCGTTGGTTATGTTTTTGAATCGCGTTTTTCGGCAGGAATGATTAACCGATTTCTATGATTTTTGGCATCCTTTATAAAGAATGGTCGAACTTTGAGAAAATGTTATTTTCTTGTGGGTATAAAAACATTTGAGATATCGGCATATGTTTGAAACCGTGTTTTTACAAAAAAATGTCAACAATTTCGAACCCCTAAGACAGATTTTTCTCTAACTTCGGCAAATAAGCCTCAGAGCTCTCTAGTTTTATATTTGCAAGTCTGAAGTCAATCGTGACCGTAGAACTCGCTGCACAAATAGCTCGTCAAATTTAACCTTAAAATGCGACGCTAACACATTTGTGAAAGTTGACGCACGAATAGAGGAAAACTGCCGGCGAACAGTAAACAGTCCGACTTTAAGAGCTAAAAAAGAAGGAAGAACATGTACGTGTTAGAATCCTCCAAAGCATAATATACTCGTTACAAATAATAACGGATATTGTAGTTATAGCCTAGCCTACAATAGCTATAAATGTTGACAACACCCGAGAGAATAACTGCGTACGTGCTGTACAAGAGTCCAGAGTCGTGTTGGTCTGTCAACTCCTTTTCAAACTGTCAGAGGTCAGAGGAAAAACAAAAAAATAATTTATGAAAATGTAAACAGGAACACGACGACGGCGATTGAAAGACACGGGGGGCGTCACTACACAGGCTACATCATCATCATATTTTCTCCAAGCAAATTTCAGTAAATCTAATTTTGAGTGCTGTGGATGACTATAGTATCAACTGATTTAGGGTACTGACCTGCACATTCCTACAAGAAACTGGTTCTTCATGTTCCCTACCGTGATTACAGTGCCCTGGACCATTTACTCCTCTCCTAATAATGTAAATCATGAGATGACATTTGAAGTGGGGTTTCCTATTACAAGGATAATTAAATACATTAGATTTAAAAAGAAGAAAATTTGGGTATTTTCAAATTTCATTATTATTCCTTCCCTAAAATGTATGCAGCATTATCTTCAAAACGTTTTTGGGATATAATCCAGTGATTCCTCCTAAATATTAAACCTCCTCAACTTTGCATTTTGGTACTTACCCTGCTGGACAGTGGTAATTGGCTGCCTTCAATGCTCCCCCAAGATGGGGGAATTAGAGATCATGACCTTGTGCTTCTGCTGCTTCATTGAGGCTAATATTAGCTAATATTAAAAGTAATTCCGCCTTTTGCACCGATATGCGTCTCTCTGATGTGCCCCTCTTTGAAGAACTGAAAAGCTCATTTTTTTTTTATCCTGACGTGCGCTTTGAAGCGTGATCGTACTTTGCTGTTTTGGTGATAAGGTAATCGTATAAAAAAAGTGGTAGTCCTCGTGTGATACAGTGGTACCGCCATTCATTAATTCAAACAGATTTAGCCGAAATTGATCATCGTCTAACTATAAAATTGGTTAGAATGATAAACTATATATCAACTCTGTGGCTTATCCCGAATGAGTAAGTGATCAAGGAGAAAATATGCAGTTTTACTCGTCTGTTTAGCAGCGTTTAAGTTTTAGTTTTGGTGATCTCGGCGCTTTTTAAGAGTTGACAACGCGACATCCACACTGAGGTGTAGACCAACGGGCCTTGCATATTATGCCTCGTGCTTTCAACCGACCAGTTTCTTTTACAAGTATTTTGGTGAAGTCTTTGGATTGATCATCCATAAACATATTTTGAATTCTTAACACATCATAGGCTGCTGAATAAGAGCCAACATGGGTTTAGAGAAGCTCGTTCAAGTGTCACTCAACTACTTCAGCTGCTACACTCATGGTACAGTTCTCTTGAGAAAGGTGACTCAGTCGACGTGATCTTTCTGGATTTTGCAAAAGCCTTCGGCAAGGTTTCTCATCATCACTTGCTTTATAAGTTGCAGTGTTATGGTATTCGAGGTCATTTGTCTTGCTGATTTCATGATTATCTGTCAGACTGTACACACAAAGAGTCATTATTGGAGGTCATTCATCAGAATGGATGGAGGTCTCTCATATCAATTACATATATTGTTGGTAAGGAAAATCGAGTGTTGGGTCTAAAAAGGAGAACTATTGGGTCCGAAAATCGTGTGGCAATCAAAACATCTTTTAATGCTTTAGTTCGTCCTATTCTGGAATATGCCTGCCGTGTGGAACGTATTTGGTTAAATAAATACCTACACAATAAATCCAGCGTCGTGCTACTCGATTGATAAGTGGATCTGATAAATCATACTCTGAAAGGCTCACTAAACTAAACTGGTCAACTTAACATTGGAGCTTAGAAGGAAATACCTTTGCTTGGTTCAACTTCACAGGACAATTCATGGCTATTCTAACATTGACTATACCACATATGCGGATCTCACTGGCCCGACAAGAACTAGAAATAACCATGAATTTAAAATCAGGCCTAGTGCAGCAACGACAAGCTATTTTAAATTTTGATTTTTTAATCGTTACGTTAATTAATGGAACTCTTCACCAAACTCCGTTATGTCTGCTTCAGCTTGAACTCTTTTAAAACTTTATTATTATTTTATTAACTTTAAATAGTCATATTTTTATTATTTCTTACTAAGTTTGGATTTTCTTTTTTTTATCTAACATCTTTTTTTCTTACATAATGTATAGTTATATATTAGATATTCTATTCTTAATTGTTTTCTCTTTTAGTTTTGGAGGGCAGTTTTTATGTGGGAATTCAGTTTCCCGCTATTGCTTTCCTTTACCTTCTGTACTTATATATATATATACATATATATACATTATATATATTTTTTGTAAATTGGTAAAAAGCATCGTTAAACCCTGAACCTTAAACCTTCCATCTGTTTCGCGGTGTTTCGAACCCGTGATGATGCATTCGTCCCGGTCGTTCTTTACATATTACATAGAACACCCCCAAACTGCAAGCGTGCAAGTGGTGTATTTGAAATTTCCCACTATCATTCCATTTTCTGGTTGTGCTTATGTAACCAATTCAATGTCTCCCGCTATGGGAAATAACTTCTTGAGTAACACAAGAATTCTAAGTGAAATGTCAAAATATTTGCTGGAAAACATCTTCAACTCTAATCTTATGCAGCCTCTGCAGTGAGGTTGCATTTTAACATTCATTGATAATAATAATGACTTTATTACAAGAGAGGATAAAGGGGACAGAGAAGGCATCTCCTATACACACCCTATTCCATAGGCAATTCTTCTCGAGTTATTTTTAGAATCGGGATAAAGTTACCTCGCGCGCTGCGTGGATGTTTCGTGGAGGTTTCGCATGACTAAACGCCGTGCAAAACATGTCGGGCGATAGGCAATGAAAGCGTAAAGAGATCGAGAGCATTTATGAATATTGAAGCGAAATGAGTCGGCGCTCACCTGGGAAAAGGGAATCGCTAGACTCTTTGACAACCCGTGAAATCAGTTTAACTTGAAGTTGTCGTAACCTCAGTGCTTTTAATTAATAAAATGAGAAATTTCGCCGGTCTATTGAAACCGGTCGTTTGTACAATAAAGCAAATAGGACGCCAAGTGTTAATTACTTTGTTGAATAATAAAAGACTAATAAAAGAATAAATATCAAACCAGAAATTGCTCTCTTCAAACTGTAAATTATAAATGATCCTGAGAGAATATTCACTGTCTTAAGGATTTCCCTGCTGTACTGTTAGCTCTATAAAAGAGAGGAAGGGCGATTCTTTTTTAATTTCCTTTTCGCTGACACAGCTTTAGCAGAAATCTCTCTTTAGTCGTTTTCGTCGACAAAACAAATAGCAATATCGCTCTCCTGCGTCAATTCGTGAAGGACACGTGGCTCTGAAAGTGGGTCATCCGCGCGGAACACATTCGCGCTATGTGATTGGCTGTCGTTTAATCCTCCTTGGGATCTATGGTCTTAAAAATAACTCAGACGAATTACCTATGGAATAGGGTGTGTATGGGGGATGCCTTCTTCTCTGTTCCCTTTATCCTCTCTCGCTTTATTAACGTGTCAAACAAAAATCTAGCAGAGGGGATTCCCCAGTGCTAATAGGGGACACCTTACTTTCTAAAATACAATCTAAAAATACAAAACGAATCAATATAGAGTCGAAACTAGAATCTACTAAGAGTTAGAATTAAAACTACTAATGATAACTCACGAACATACATACTACAAAAACTCCATTTATACTTACCAAAATTCTAAATCTTGTGATTAAAATCGTAATTAAGAAAAGTTAAAATTACGAATTGCAAAGGTAGCAGCCACTACATCCATCTAAAATGTTACTTAAATCAAGACTGCGTATCCGGGTCTTAAACCACTTAAGACTGGCAGCTGATCTGTCCTTGCTTGGTAACTTGCTCTGAAGTCTCGGGCCTAGGTATCGAATTGAGTGTTTTCTGTGCGTAACTGTGTTGAAACTAGGTTGATAAAAATCTTTCTGCCGTAAATTGTTAGTGTGACTGTTGGTCAGAAACATGTCACAAATAGTCCGCGGGCACAAATTAGGTTTAACCTTCAGTACATCAAAATATATATGTCCTGTAGTCTCCTGTTGTACAACGATGGTAGCTTTGCTTTCACTAACAGCTGTTGGTAGCTGGACTGCTTTTCTTTAAATACAGCGCGCAGTCCACGCTCCTGTACTCTCTATCCAATCTATGGGTGTCCGAGGCTCTACAAAAATGCCACACTAAGTGGCAATATGTTAAATGTGGGAGAATAGCTGACTTAAAGAGGTGTAATTTGGCCTCAGTTGGTATTAGATTCCTCAGCCTCATTATCACACCTATTCTCTGGCTAGATTTCTTACAAACATTACTAATATGAAAATTACAAAATCCAGACCACAATCAATAGTTACGCCTAGGAGCTCTAAATTGTCTGATTCCATTATATCTTTGCCATTGACAGTTATACTTGCTTTGTCATCATAGTTCACTCTTTTATTCCGAATGTTCATCGTTTGATTCGAATCGTACCAATCAGTTGCTAGAGTGGCACTCTCTTGAAGTTTCGCGACAATAGTACACATGTCCTTTCCTTTCACGTAGATCTGGTGATCGTCCGCGTACATTGATAGCCCAGAATCTAAGTTATATGAAAGATCGTTCTGAAGTATGTTCCATAGAAGCGGTCCTAGTACCAATCCCTGAGGACAACCTCGTTCCACATTTCTCCATGATCTAGTTACCGATCCAATGCGCACTCTCCCTAAGCGACTGCATAAGTAGCTGCGCAGCAAATCCAGTGCTCTGTCCTGGAATCCTAGGCTTTTAACTTACATAGCATAAGAGGTGGATGTAAGCTATCGAACGCTTTAGACATATCTGTTGATAATATTCCCACTAATAGACGATTGTCCCTAGCAAATTTCCAATCTTCCACTAGGCCAATCAATGATTTTTCACAACTATTGTGCTTTTGGCAATTAAGTCGTGAGGCCACCACCAAGGCAATCATCATACTTTGTTGTTATTTGGTTACCCAATAATCGCTCAAACACTTTGTTTACGCATGAAAGCACATTTATTGGTCTGTAATTCTTAGCATGCCTGTCATCTTTTTTATAGATTAGAGTCCAGTCCTTTTTCTTCCAATTACATGGCCACTGACCCTTTTTAATGCACGAGTTGTAAAGAATAGAGAGTGGTAGAGATATTTCCTCGGCTCCGGCCTTCAGGATTTTGGCAGAAATACCGTCATGGCCGGTAGCTTTATTTACGTCAAGAGACTCCAGCACGCTTTTCACTTGCGTCGGATTTACTTCCTGGAAATCAAACGCTTCATTACCCCTCGACTTCTCCTCTATTAACTGCACACTTGGGTGATCATTAAAGTCTTTCAAGTTCAACAGTTCCGCATCTGTTCCTCCAATGCCATCGGCAATAGTGGCCAAATGGTCTGCCAGTATCTCTGTGACTTTGATTTGATCCTTCAGAATATCTCCTTCGATGTTCAATTCAATATCCGGATTAGACCTAATGCCTTTGTCACTGAGGAATGGCTTGAAAGTTTTGAAGAAATCTCGAGGGTTTCTTCTCAGATCTTCCGATTTTGTCCTCCAATACCCCTTTATTGCTAATCTTCTTTGCTTCGTAGTTTCGTTTCTGCAGAGAAGATTAGCAATCAAGGAGTATTGATTGATAAGTTTATTAATTGTAATGGCGTGTCAATATATACTGTTCAGTGACAATAATAATTCCAGTTACTCCTTGGATATCCTTTTAGTATGTGCTCTATACTCCAAATCAGCTTCAGAAGGCTACATTGTCTTGCGTAATACCATCACAAGCTTGTTCTTATAATTATTCTCAAAGTGCGTGCCCTTCTTGTTTAACAGCTGTTTCCGTCATGGCGACTTGAAAATGCCACATTTAAGTTCTACTGTAAATCAGTGCTATACTGCGTAAATATTGTAAACGAAAATTTACCTATTAAGAAAAGTCTCAAATGAAGATATTTGTTTGACTAGACAAACTTTTTGACAGGCAAATAATAACTTTTGTTTTGATGTATTGCGCTTCCTCTCTTTCTATTTATTTAGTGTATGTTAATTTTAATAATTTGCTCTAAAGCAATCAAAACCCAGAAATGTACGTGGTTCAACCATTAACGGAACTAAATTTACGTAAAGACCCGTTTCAGCGTTTAAGATCTTAAATTGCGTCAAACACGTAAGAGAAGATATTATGATAAAAGGCTGTTGAAGAGTCCTGCAAACTAATAACCTTATGATCGGGGAACAAGTCAGTCCATTATGGCTACAAATTGCTCGTTAAATGGAAGCTATACTGCCAACTGTGAGTCTTCGACATCTTTCGTCTGCCCTTACGATCCTTTTGTTCTGCTTCACGTCCCTAAAAATCTTTACTACACATACTTCGTTACAGCGGCCTTAAATGTGGTGTTCGCAGCAACATCATTTTGCGGAAACTCTCTCGTTCTTACAGCTCTCCTAAGAACCCCGTCTCTTCACTCTCCGTCCAAAGCTCTACTCCGCAGCCTCGCGCTATCAGATCTCTTCGTTGGCTTATTTGTTCAGCCTATGTACATCGCTTACTGTCTGTCCGGAATTTCAGAAAATCACTGGGTTCGATGTATCTCATGGTTTATCTATCCTCTATTAATGGACTATTTCGTTGCAGTATCATTTCTTACCATGGTCGCAATTAGCATCGACAGGTATTTGGCCCTGCGTCTTCGTGCTAGCTATCGATCAGTAGTGACAATAAAGAAAGTAAACATCACAGTTGTATCTATATGGATAACAAGTTTGGTATTTCCAATCACCAGGGTAATAGCTGGAAAACTTACACTTCTTCTCTCGTGCACATTCTTTGCACTGTTTGTTGTCATCCCTACTTTTACACACTGTACAATTCATAGTACATTACAACGTCATGGAAGGCAAGTTACGAATCAGTTTTTTCTACACCGCAAGGAAAGCCACCTTTCTATACACCAGTACAAGAAATCCGTTTCTGCAATGCGCTATTTGTATATCGCGCTTTTGATAAGTTATACTCCTATAACTTGTG